TAATTTTAAAATAAAAAAACATGGGTTTTTTTCGGTATAGAACAATCCTAGGGGGTGAGAGCATTAAATTTCCGACTTTGCTTTTATCCCGTACATTTTTGGACCACCCTAATGTGCATATTTAAATATTTCTTTCTAATCATAATGACACTAGCATAATAAAATCGTAGAAAATGCATATGTACAAAATGTGCATAGAGTATTTTTTTTTAAATATTAACAATCTTTTTCATGTTAAATGTTTTTTGTAAACTTTTTATTTACAGCTGCGAGTACAATATAGTTGCAAAATTTAAAATTATGTTGTTTTCTACTTATGTGCATTTATTTATTTTTAACAATTTTCATGTAAAATATAGTTCCTTCTACTATATAACAACTGAAACCACATAAATAAAACTTTCATAGCTTGCACAAAGTTCACAAAAATCAATCAAACTTAAAAAGATGTTCACCAAGATTTCGAATTTTTTATTCAGAATCTTTTTACGATTTTCGGGCATGCAGTTTTGTAGCCCAAGGGTGTTGCGCATTTTCTTCCATATAAAATGCTTGTGAACTTTGTGCTCATACGAGCGGCTTGGCATATGCAACGAATTTGTGCCCATTAGGGGCAGCACAGTTAGTGAATCGCACAATCGTTACTGAAAACAACAAATATTAGTTGTGTTTTCGTATTCTCCAGCAAAAAATATCCAGTAACTTGTCAGTAACCAAATTCCGGAGAGTAAGCCATTATTTACTCCCAATGAGAGAACAATGGGAGAAAGTATGAAAACGCAAAACCAGCAAGAAGTTGCAACTTTTATGAACAGCTGATTAATTTGTTATTTCCAAAAAAAATTAGTATTTCCCACCCTAATATATATTTAAATAGGTTTATTTTGTTAATTGCAACTCTAAAATCACCACAAACAATTCTTTTAGTAATGTGAATTGCATTAAGCATCATGCCACCAGCTGTTTTTCTTACTAGCAAATAGTTACTAATAAAAATTTATCCAGTAAAACTTGCAAGTTCTGCTGTAATTTTTGCTCTCTCAATTCTCTCTCTTTTGCTGGTTTCTTGCAAGTTTTTACGACCGAAAACGCCTTCCAGTAAAAAGCCAGTAAAATTAGTACTGGATAGTGCGTACGCGACCAGGGCTATTGTTAGCTTACAACTCGACAAGTTGCATTGTTAAAAGTTAGTCGCACTACAGGGCTGTCAGACAAAAAAATACCTACCATCCACTTGAAAAAAATCTACCAAATCTGGATAATGGGGCGTATTCTGGTTTTCGTACGAATCGAAAATTCGAAATTTTTGTATAGAAAATGATAGGAAAATTTCATGATTTTCGATTCGTACGAAAACAAGAATACGCCCCAATATTTTTTATCTACCAATAATTGTTTAGTTATTTTAATAAAAACTATATTTTGTATTTTTTTTTTAGTTATTTCAATAAAAATTTAAGTTTTTACTTTTACTTAACTAAATATATGGTATTTGAGATCATATGAATCATGGATGAAAAATGGAAATTTCAAATTGTACCTAATATCATAAAATAAATGTACCTAAATGAGACAGATTGTACCTAAACAAAGTTACATCATCCATTTGTAGATTTTTTTATAAATTTTATTTAAAACATGAATACGAAAGATGGATGTACTTAAAGCATGATTAGGTTTATTTTAACTGAGCCTATATCTATAGACTATAGTCTAATGGGAATCGGAGAAGCGTTGTTTTTGTCTAATTTTGACTACTGAAAAATATTGGCGGAAAAGACAGAAAAGAAAACACACTTTGCGAAGTATACTTCTTTATTCAGATTTTATAAAACAACAGGAAAAGTCTGCTAATATATCCGATTCCTTTTAATAGGTGCTGCAAGTCTACAGAAAATAATCAAATTGCCGTAAGTAACTTCGAAAGCATTTTAAATATATTTCCAGAAATCAAAAAGTGAATGGGGGTCAAATGGCTATAGTTCTCATCTAAAGAAAATATGAAATTTGAAGACATCCTAGACAATGCACTGTACGGACGAATAAAGGCTGGTTTTCATTATGTCATATTTTGACAACAAATTTTTGTCAACATATGTTAACATTTACAAATAGCCGCTTTAGCAGCGCATGTACACGCCTGAAGGCCTAATCTGATCTAAATAAATCAAGAGACCATTTTCTAGTCCTACTTGACAATTTGTTTTCACTCATTTGACCACAAATGCCATTGAATTTGACTTAGTGAAAGTAAGCGTTAAAATTAATAGAAAAAAATTACGAATTTGAGGATAGCTAAGTAAAGTGTTAATTTTTCGTAGTGGCTGCTGTAAAATGTTTATGAAAATACATAATATGACTTTTTTAATTTCTTATTTTTGACCACTTTTCTTTAGAATTGTTTATTCTGCAAAATGAAAGTGAAGCTTCTCCCGTGCCTACAAGTAAATACATTAGCACGGTAAAGCAGAAAGAAAAAAACTAAAAATGCATCTGATCAAAAGCTGATTGTACCTAAAATCTAGTGACTGTACCTAATGTACCTCTAAGTCATCAAACGTCGGAAAGCGGTACAATTGTACCTACTTTTTCATCCCTGATATGAATGTCATCTTCTCGGTTTCATTCAACCAAAAGTGAAAGTGATGAAACT